GCAACTGCGCAGTATGCTCAAGTCCGTCTAAGCCCTGATCCAAGCTTTGCCCGTGCCGTGTCCTCACCCAGAACACCTTTCCCCCTGCTCCACTTAGCTAATTCCCACTCCTCCCTCAAGACTTCAAAGGCTACCAGGAGGGCCTCCCCTGATGTGCATGATGTATCCCCCCAGCCAGCCCGGTGTAGCCTGGGCACCTCTCCCTGCAGTAATAATTAACCTACCTGGTTCACCTCCCCCTTCTAGATCCATGTTCCTCACTTAACACTTCAGTGCAAATCTGAATCCTCTGGGAGGCTTATTAAAAATGGAGGTTTCGAGGCCCTATCCCCTGCGTCTGGGCCTGGAAGTCTTGGGAGAGGCTCAGACAATTTTAAGCAACCCAACCATGTCTCTGGTTTAAGCTGACCCTAACCAGAACCATAGCACACTCTAAAAACAGATTGGGGTAAGGGGGCTAAAACACACACAAGAGACAAACAATTCAAATGCTTCTCCACTGGCAGTTTTGGAAGATGTCCCCTCCTTTCCACACGCAGTCCCTGCAGTTAAAAAACAAAAAAACAAAAAAAAACCCCTTGGTTCAAACTTGTTTCCAAGAGCACAAGCCACCCAAATTCACCACCGTGCACTTTCCTGCAAGAAATGCAGATAGGGGTGGACAGGTTTCCTAGGACCCAGACCTCAGCTCTGCAGAAACCTGTGGAAAGACCCCGAAAAGGAGGAAAGATGCAGATAATGCATGACCAAGAGCTGGGAAACCCATCAGCATCTTCCTGCAGCTGAATCCACAGTCATTAGACAATACGTGGATTGTGCTGACATCCAACCACTTAGAACGAAACTCCATTCCGTGCTCATGAACCTATTAGATGAAAAGTCCTCAATTTAGATAACTGCAAATTGCTTTCTGAGCATAATTTCCTATTAGTTCGCTAATCTCTCTATTCAGAACGCCAACAAGACAGCTGATGATAATTCCGGAGGAAGTGGCCATTAAGCCGAAGGAGGAGGAAAGGGGGTTAGACGTTCCCAAGTATCCTGGCTTCCTGGGTGGGGGGGTACCCCAAAATTAATCCATAAAGTTAGTAACAGTATTAGCTTTAGTGTATGATGTTCTCATAATGCACCAGGTACTGGGCTGAGCATTTTACCTTACTTACCTCACTTAGGGTTTTTTTGTTTGTTTCTGTTTGTGGGTTTTGTTTTTTTTTTAACAATCTAGTGAGGTAGATATTATTTTCCTCTTTCAACAGAAGAAGAAATGGGGCTCAGAAGTAGTCACACCCAGCTGTTAGTAGCAGAGTCAGGGTTCAAATGCAGGTGTGTGTCTGACCTACAACCCCGGGTTCCAATCATGCCTTATCCTTTTGGCTTATCACACAAATATTTACTGGATGAATGTACTGGAGAGATGATGATGAATAAGACTCAAGTTTACAGAATGAGGCCAAGAAATGAAATAACACAAAAGCTTACAAAATAGTTAGCAAAAATGACCAGTCTGTAAAAACCAAAAAAAAAAAAAAAACAAAAAAAAACCCAACAAAAAAACAAAAACAAAAAAACCCTAAACCAAAAAAATAAAAAAAAACAACAACAACAACAAACAAAAAAACCCAACAAAACCCCCCAAAACAAACCTCATATACTGAAACATCAGGCTGGAAAATAAAGTTTGATTTTGTTAAACTACTACTTCTTTGTAGAGTAGTGCTTCTCAAAATGTGCTCCCAGGACCAGCAGCATCAGCATCACCTGGGAACTCCAAATTCTAGGGCTCCACCCAAGACCTGCTGCATCAGAGACTCTGGGCCATGCCCAGGAATCTGTGTTTTAACAAACTCTCCAGGGGATTCTGATGCATACTCGAGTTTGAGACTCCTGATATAGACAAAGAAAATCCTCTCTAAAAGGAATTTGGAGATCACTCAGAGAAGTGCTTCTCAAACCTTAATGTGTACAAGAATCACCAGGACAATCTTAAAATGCAGATTCTGATACAGCAGGTCTGGGCAGAGTCTGAGAGTCTGCATTTCTAGCCAGCTTGCAGGTGATGCTGATGCTGCTGGTCCAGGGACCACATGTGGAGTCGCATGGGTCCAATCCAATCCTTTTCACCCAAGGAGTTTCTGGCGATAACAGAACCAGCGATGCTTTAGGTTTCAAAAAAAAAAAAAAAAAAGTCATCGTCTTCAGAGCAGATTCAAACCTATGCCTCTGGGATGATTCAGAACCACAAGAAATGACCTGTATCATGGCACTTCCTCTCTTCAGTGCTTTGTTCTCCTTCGCACTTAGCATCCTCTGAACAGAGAGATGATCTATTTCACTGGTTTGTTTATTGTCCCTCCCCTCCCCTAGCATGTAAGTTCCATGAAGGCAGGAGTCTTGTGTGTTTTAGTCACTGTGATTTCCCTTCTGTCTAGAACTGCGCCTGGCCCATAGTAGGTTCTCAATAAACAGCTGAGCAAATGAACAGTTGTTTTTTTTTTTCTAAAAAGCTGCTTCCGGGCGCCTGGGTGGCTCAGTCGTTAAGCGTCTGCCTTCAGCTCGGGTCATGATCCTGGAGTCCCGGGATCGAGTCCCGCATCGGGCTCCCTGCTCGGCAGGGAGTCTGCTTCTCCCTCTGACCCTCCCCCCTCTCATGTGTTCTCTCTCATTCTCTCTCTCTCAAATAAATAAATAAAATCTTAAAAAAAAAAAAAAAACTGGAAGCATGCTGGATCTTCATAGCAACTATAGACTCTGCTGAGTCTATAGTTCTTCCGTTCTGGAAGCTTCTCTAAGAGCTGAGCAAATTGGTGAGATCAACAGTGCAATCCAACCATGGCCTGAATTCTGCTTCTTACACACCAGGAGCCATTTCTGCACAAGGTGGAGTGAGGATGGATGTTCTTTGACAGAACATGGTCACCTGGGGTGAGAACATTTCATTGGCTCCTTCCCACAGGCCTATGGAGGGGGCCAGCATCACACCCACTTTGCAGATTGGAAAACGGAGCCCCGAGATGACTGACAAGTCGCTGGCTCAAGCTCATACAGAGAATGCAGTGGAGCTGGGACTCACACTCAGTTCTGGCTGCTTCCAAAGCCTGTGCTTCTCCCCCAGGACTCCATCCCTCCCCCAACCCCTGGCAGGATCTGAGTCTTTGTTCATTACTTCTAGAACAGAGAGCAAGAGCAAAGGCCGCCTCAGAGTTCCGCCTCTAGGGCTGAAAATTAAAACGGCTCAGGAAGTGTTCAGCCTCACTGACTCCTGGCTGCGTCCCTGTCACCTAATTACCTGACTTCAAAGCCTCTGCTGGGCAGGTGTGAGGATGTGAGAGCTGCCTCTTCCCCTCAGAACATGGTGTGACTACACCCGGGTGAGACAGGCCCCAGAGCAGCTGGTGTGTGGGGAATATCAGACAGCCTTCACGTGGACCCGAGGGTCCGGCCTCGAGCCTCTCGGAGTCAGAAAGCCAGGGGTCACCATCCCGAGGGCTCACCTGAGAGCCAGGGTCTAGGGAAGACCAAGATGGGGATGCAGGCCTCCAAATGGTAATGCTGGGTCATTTCTTCCCACGGCCCCTCATGCCTGGGAGCTTATGGCCTCTTAGGGTTGGAACTCATTAATCCTCCCCAACTCCAGGAGGGAAGGGAGCTCAGCCTTACCTCTGTTACTCAGGTGAGACACCCAGGCGGGGGGTGGGGGGGGTAGTGAGCGCTCACCACCGCTGCTGTCCCCTCCCACCAAGGGGCAGGGATGCAGGGGGGCCAGAAGGAGCCCAAAGGGGAGTTGCCCACCTGGGCTGGACAAGGAAAGAGGGATTCCTACATTCTTTTTAAGAATGGTTCCTATGAAGAAGACAGAGCTACTTCCATGTGTCACTCTGAGATACAGTTAAATGTTATTGACAATCTTATAGGAATCGGGCCAGAGAGGTATTTCACACACGTTTATGGAAGGAGCAAGGGAGGCCAGGCAGAAAGGCATTTGAGACCTCTGACAGAGGACAGAACTCTGAGCCTGGCGCCATGCTGTGTCCTTGAGTGCTGATTCATTGGATGCTAATCACCGCATCAGCCAGGTATGATGATTATTCCTTTCATGCAGATTAAAAACAAAAAACAATGAGGAACAGAAATGTGAGGTGACTTGCCCAAGGTCACACAGCTAGAACGGACCAGAGCCAGGATTTGAACCCATCTTAGTCTGACTCCAGAGTCCATGTTGGACATCACATTTTTTCTCCTACTTCCCCGCCTTTTGCCGGCCATGAACTGGCATGGGTACGTGTGAGTGGGGGAGCTTTGCGTGGCCGAGCCTTCCTAACCAGAGCTGGAGACCAACATGATGCCACAGAGGGGAGAGGAGTTCGGGGTCAGGGCTGTGTGACCTCAGGCAGGGGGCTTATCCTGGCCAAGACTCAGCTTTCACGCCTGTAAAATGGGGAGAATCAGAATAACTCCCTCGGAGGAGAAAAAAATAAAGGAAGAAAAGACTTTACAAATTCTAACTCAGGAATTGGCAAACCACAGCTGAGGAGCCAAAGCCAGCCCACAGCGTATTTTTGTAAATAAGGTGTTATTGGAATAAATAAATGTGTCACACCCGTTTTTTGGCATATTGTCTCTTCAGCCACGTGGTAGCGCTGAGTAGTTGTAACAGAGACCCTCGGGTCCACAGAGCCTAAAGTATTTACTATCTGGTCAACTAGACAAAAGGTGTGCCAACCCCTAATCTTAGATGCTACGAATATGCAAATATCACTGGGCCTCCGCAGACAGCGTGCTACATTTCCCACACCATCCATCAGCTCTGGTTCTTACTCCGAATTGCTCCCCTTGGCCCCTTGCCCAGAGGCAGAGGTTCACTTAAGACACGGTTCTGAAACATGGAGCAAGCGATCCTCCCAAGAACCAAGAAACCAAACTTCTGTAAGCTCTTTCAAAGCCCAGCATGGTTCTCATGGACATCAGGCACCAGGAAAACATTTCTGAATGCAGCCACTTACTTGCAATTTTTACACTTGAGGCCAAAAAGCATTCCTTTCCCACAGACGGTGCACGTCTGAGACATCCAGTACTTGGTGGAAAACCTGTGGAAAAGAGACAGAAAACGTTCAAGGGCAAGGTGGTGGTGACAGGGCTATCTCTAGAAGGATGAGCCGCTTAAAGGGTAAGCACACAGGCCCTGGATTCTAGTCTTGCTTCTTCCAAGATGTGTGACTTCATCAAGTTGTTCAGACCACTGGAGCCTCAGTCTCCCTATCTGCAGGTTGGGGATGATAACCAACGTCACAGGTTGCTGGGAGGACCCAACAGGCCATGCTCGTCAAGGGCCTCACACTGCCTGGCACATAGTAAGGGCTCACTCAACTGGGTTGTGACTTTATTATTACCTGGACATCCGTGACAGTCCTTCATTAATTCAACAAGTCCTGCCTGGTGGCCGGCTATATGCCAAATTCAGTTCTGGGACAGAGCGATGGATGAGGCTAGAACTGTCCTCAGAGAACCACAAAGCAAGGCGGAGCCTCCCATGAGTCCAGCAGACCCAGGCCCCCCTCACTGCCCATCACATCATCTGGGGAGCTTTGATGGGGGCCTCCCCCTCCCCTCAGAAGAGCTGAGGCCTCAAACTTGAGAAGCAGAGTCCCCAAAGTGAAAGCCCTTGCAGACAGTAAGCTCATCTTCCTCCCCCGTCACCACCGCTTGCTGCAAACGCAAGGCAGTTTGGACAGCTCGGATAGCTAGGAAGCAGGAACCAGCAGGAACAGAGGTGCATTACGTTAACTTCCCCGGGGCTCCCGCTGCTGCTGGGGTGCTTTCTTCCCCCAAGAGATACCACGAGGCAGTGGGGCTGGCCCCAGAAAAGTATTGAAGGTTGCCGGGTCAGAGTTAATTTTCATTTTCAATTTTTGCTACCTTCTGCAGGAGTTGTATCTAATCTCCACTGCCTCTGAGTGTCAAAATGAAAATCAGAAGTGATTATGTAACTTGGTGCTTGAGAATTTTGAGGGCAAGGTTGCATCCCTCTGCTGTACCAACGTGCTTGATTTGGGTCAGTCACCCTCCAAGTGGGACCAGCCGCAGCCCAAAGCCTGCATATTGAAGCAAATAGCAATATTCGGAACAGAGACTCTTGCAACTAAGGAAACTCCCTCTCCAGTTCTGGACTAGGGGGGTGGTTCAGTCTTTTTCTGCCCCTTCCACGGGGCCAGCAAGTTTGGCAAGGCCTACTTTGTGCCATTTGGCAGCTCTTGGGAATGAACAGAATAGGCTCGTGGTTCCCCACCCCCCCTCCAGCCAGTAGTGTGGGGACAGAGGGCAGGCAGCATGTGCCTTGTAGCCTAGAGTTCTCTTTTCCTTTCCAGTCCTCTCCCATCTCTGGGATCAGCTCTCTCTCCTCCTGAGCTCTGGCTGAAGTGACTCTGAGGACAGTGGATGGAATGGGATTTTAATTTCATTTCTTCACCAAGGCTGGGGTGAGTCTAGGTCTCCTCCGCCTGGCATGGAGCCCGGGGAGAAACGTAGCGTGAGACAAAAGAGTAACAGGGCATCCCAAGTCCCGGCTCCTCTAAGAAGACATTCCTGATGCCCAAGATCACCATCCTTCCTTTGGGAATCAGTATTTCAATATGAGGTACCATCAGATCTAACACCAGGTTGCTAGAGCCGCGGGATGAGGCTGAGCCAGAAGGCAAGGTTGAGCTAGGGGCAGGGTCAATGAGCTAGGGGCAGGGTCAATCCAGGGGTGAAGCCGACCAGGGGTGTGGCCAATACAGGATGGAGCTAAGCAGGGGTGTAGCCAACCCACGGTGGAGCTGAGCCAGATATGGGGTCAATCCAGAGGTGGAGCTGAGTCAGGAGTATGGCCAATCCAGGAGCGGAGCTGAGCCAGAGGCAGGACAAATTCAAGGGTGGAGCTGAGCTAGGGGTGTGGCCAATCCAGAGGCGGAGTTGAGCCAGGGGTGTGGCCAATTCAGAGGTGGAGCTGCGCCAGGGGTAGGGCCAATCCTGAAGGCGGGACCAATCCAGGGGTGGAGCTGAGCCAGGGGTGTGGCCAATCCAGAGGTGGGACCAATTCAGGGGTGGAGCTGAGCCAGGGGTGTGGCCAATCCAGAGGAGGGACCAATTCAGGGGTGGAGCTGAGCCAGGGGTGTGGCCAACCCAGAGGAGGGACCAATTCAGGGGTGGAGCTGAGCTAGGGGTGTGGCGAATTCGGAGGTGGAGCTGCGCCAGGGGTAGGGCCAATCCTGGAGGCGGGACCAATCCAGGGGTGGAGCTGAGCCAGAGGTGTGGCCAATCCAGAGGCGGGACCAATTCAGGGGTGGAACTGAGCCGGGGGCAAGTGGGAAAGCAAACAGAAAAGGCCCTTCTTTTTGATGCTTTACTCCCCGCATCTCCCTGCCTGACCATTGACGCGTGTATCACGTATTTCTCACTGCTTCCTCTACCGTTTCCTCATTTGAGTCTTAACAACTATCGTGTCAACACGTTTCTTTCAACAACTGTTGACGAGGTGCCATTCCAGGAGAGTGTGCTCATTCCCGCCCCCATGGCGATGGATGTGTCTACCCCTGACACCGCTCCCGCTTGTAGCCCCGCTCGCACATACTGTCGCGGTCTGTTAGCCGTCTAGCCCTCCACCGGACCGCGAGCTCCCCAAGGGCACAGGCCCTAGGTCTTGCGCGGTGCTGCTTCCCAGGCACAGAAATGCCCTACAAATACCAGCACAGAGAATCCGTGAATGAGTGAACAGGTCCCTCAGCTAGTTCCCAGAGGCCTCCGTACAAAGAAGACTCTGAGAGCAGTGTCCAAAGAACACAGAGTGTGGAGGTCAATTAGCTTGTAGGCCCATCACTTAATCGTGCAGGGCCTCAGTTTCCCTATCTGTCAAAGGGACATGACCACACTTGGGCTACTTACCCCACTGAGCTTGTGAGGAGACTGTGAAGATAATGACATAAAATGTAGAAAGTTAAATCTGGAAAGTTAAAGAACTTCTTATAAGGGATGTTTAGTAGGTCCAAGTCTCCTTCCCGAAAGGACAGGTGTACCCCTGGGGAGCTTATGTCCATGGACCCAACAAGGCTGGAGCTCTGGACTGACCTACACCTCAGCGGAGTTCAGTATGAGTGCAGTATGCAATCCCGTCTTCTGGGTGGAGAGAGCCAAAAATTAGGATGTAAAAAGCCTTTGTCTTGACAATGATACCGTTTACTGAGTGATTATTATGCGCCCTTTGCTTGGCACTTGACATATATTATCTCATTTGATCCTCATGACACACCTATGGGTAGGCAGAATTATCTGATGAGAAAACTGAGCCTCAGAGAGGTTAAGTAACTTCCTCAAGGTTGCAAAGCTTTACTAGCTAGGATTGGAACACAGGAAAGTCGGAATCCAAAGCCCTGGCTTTTAACCATTATATGCTGATTTTACAAGGGCCAAGGTTAATAAGATGCCACAATGAGGGTTCACTTGGCAGAGGAGAGAGGGGCCTGGTGATACCGGAGGCTGAGCAGAATATCTGCCCAGCCTTTCCCACTCCGGCGGCCAGAGATCCCAGCCTTCACTGTGCTGGGAGGCAGGCACTGATGCCCACGGGAATCCAGCCTACCTGTGCTTGATGGAGTTGCCAAGGTCTCTGCGAGGGATCTGCGGGGACCAGCGCGGCACGGACAGTGTGTCTGCAGGGAGAGAAGAGAGGAGAAGAGCCGGTTACACAGAAAGTCAGAGGATGGGGCGGGCTCCAGCCGAGCCCTGGAAGGAAGAGGGAGCCTCGCTGGCTTCAGTGACCACCACCAGCATTCGCTAAACCAAAGCCAAACGGAACACCGGTTTAACATGTGTTACTTTGACTGAAGCAAGTTCCCCTGGGTAGGGCAGCCAGGGAGTGCCTTGAAAGAAGCCAGCTGTGGAAAGAATAAAAATGAGCACTGCTTCCATTTATGGCGTGCTTAGTGTGTGCCAGGCATGTGGCAAGTGACTCACATGCTTTAGCTTGTTACATGCTCAAAACGACCCAAAAGAAGGGGGTTGTTAGCATCCCCACCCTACAGACAACACAATTGAGGCTTGGAGCAAGGAAATCATTGGTACAAGGTCATACACCTTGGAGGCTGCAGAGCAGCTGTGAATCCAGACTTGAGAGACTCTAGAGCACATGCCCTTGTGTGCAAAGTTCTAACGCGGTAGATTCCAAATGCCAGGCATGCATGTCCTCAGAGAACCACAAAGCAAGGCGGAGCCTCCCGTGAGTCCAGCAGACCCAGCCCCCCTCACTGCCCATCACATCATCTGGGGTGTGAAAGTGGGGGCCACTTTCCCAGTTTTGTCATGTCCCGTATGGCCCATAAAGTTATTTACTTACTATATTAAGTTAACTCTTTTTGTTTGTTTAAATACACTTATTTTAAAAGCACACTCTATATTGAAAACTAATATCACTTTCTGTATATTGTCAGTAATTATTTAAAATATGTCCAACCACATACCATCTAAACTCATGTTAAAATAAGTGGACGGAGGACCGGCTGGGTGGCTCAGTCAGTTAAGTGTCTGAGTCTTGATTTCAGCTCAGGTCATGATCTCAGGGTTGTGAGATCAAGCCCCATGTCAGGCTCCGTGCTGGGCGTGGAGCCTGCTTAAGATTCTCTCTCCCTCTCCCTCTGCCCCACTTCTCTCTAAAATAAATAAATAAATAAATAAATAAATAAATAAATAAGTGGATGGATTGAGTAGCAAATGGAAGAGTGAGTGGATGGATGGATAGATGGATGGGTAAATGGACTGGTAAGTGAGTGGATGGAAGGATGGATGGATGAATGTTTGGATAGGTGGGTGGATGGTCAGATGAGTGGGTAGATGGACAGATGGGTAGGTGGGTGGTTGGATGAATGGATGGATGGATGGATACATGGATTGGTAGGTGGATGGGTGGATGGGTGGATGGATGGGTGGATGAATATTTGGATAGTTGGGTGGACAAGTGGTTGGATAAGTTGGATGGAAAGATAAATGAGTAGGTAGATGGATAGGTGGGTAGGTAGGTGGTTGGAATGGTAGATGGGCAGATGGATGGATGGATTGATGAATGGAGGGGGTGGATGAATTGATAGGTGGGTAGATGTATGTACGGATGGATAGATAGATAGATTGATGGATGAATGGGAATGAGGAAGAAACAATAAATCACACAGACTTAAGACTGGGTGCCTGTCCCCATCTGGTCTTTCCTTTCATGCCTTAAGCTAAATCCCAGGGACCTCTGCTATCACTCCACCTCTGTCTGAGTTCTGGGACTTCTCCCGCAGATGCTGAGCACCAGCCGCCACCTTCACTCCACCACCTCGAGGGCCCCAAGGAGGTGTGAAACAACAGCAGAAGTGAAGCCGCGCCGCGTGTGAGATCTCCACCAGCGAGGGAGACAGGAAGCCAGTGGCCAACCCACACACCAGCTCTCCTTTCTCAGGCCAGATAGATGGAGCCAGCTGCCTGTTTTCAGAGCTACAAACACACACCTACCCCATTTTTCACAGCCATTGTTCCGGAGTGGTGTGTTCACTGGGAGCTGAACTGATCAGGGAGCATTTAAACCCCAACCCATTCTTCTCTCTTCTGTCTAATGACACTGTTAACAGCCATCTGAAAGCTGTTTCCAGAACCCCAATTCTGCCCTTGTAAAGGTGGGACCCTTTCTGGGAGAGCTAGTGATTTTCCAGGCCCGAAGGGCAGAGAAAAGCCACGCAAGAAACAGCATGATATATCAATCAGCATCATAGCTGGTGGAATTTCCTCCAGTTTAACTAAAAGCTAAATGTCACCCAATCCAAGCCATTTTGCCACTTGTTTCAGTTTCCAAGGGAAACAAAAAAGACAAAGAAAAAACGATTTTAAAAAAGAGCGAAAGAGAGCATTCTTTCCATTCCCAGCTCCTTTGGGGACTTAAATCTGATTTAGGACGACGGATGCTACTTGTGAACTCCTTAAAATGCTTTCTCCAGCGCAGGGCAGGTGCAGATGGGACAGCTGGGCTGGAGAGAAAGCGTTAGTTAGCTCAGATACACAGCCTCCTCGTGGGGAATCTACAAAACTAGGAGTGCCAAATGGGCTTTATCTCATGGGACATTCGTAGTAGCTGTCTAGAAAAGCGTGTTGAGAAAAATTCTGAAGCCCAATAGGAAAGAACACCGAGATTGATCAGCAATGCCCTCCATGAGTGAAGAATAAGGTAGAACCAACAAGTCTGTGTATATGTGCCCCTCCTACAAGGACCGGGACCCCAGCCTCATCTTTGCATCACCAAGAGCAAAGTAAGTCTTCCTATATGTGTGCTGAGTCCAAGCATATTATGATGGAAGCACTGAGTTAATTGATCGCTCACTATGTGTTAGGCATTAGGCTGTGCAGTGTAGACGTGGAAATTATGTCTCTGTGCAGTCAGTGTTCTCATTATTCCCTACAAGACACAGGGGCTCAGAGAAATGCAGGAATATGCTAGAGGTCACACAGCTAGGCACCAGCAGAACCTCATGGAGAATTCTGCCATTGGTCATAAGTCCTGCAAAAGCCCTTTCACCAGTATTCTCAACCAAAGTGACTTTTGCCTCCCAGGAGACACTGGGCAATATCTGGAGATAATTCTGGTTGTCACAGTGGGGTTGGGAAGTGTTATTGGCACCGGGTGGGTAGAGGCCAAGGATTCGGCTCAAGATCCTACAACGCGCAGGCCAGCACCAACATCAAAGAATTAACCAGCCCCAAATGTCGAAAGTGCCAAGGCTGAGAAGCCCTGATCTAGATATTTTCTACTCCCCTAGCCACCTCACATGCCCCCCGCACCAACCCCAAGCAATCAAGATGGTACTTGTGAGGCTCAAGTCAGCAGAGAACAAATCCTCTTTTATTATAAGCACATCTCACTTTTAGATTCATATCCCAGTTATGCTGTTATTCTCAATTACAGCACCTTCTCAAGAAGTAGAAGTCATTAAGTTTAGTTCTTTGGTTTCATTTCCCGATATCTGGTTGAAGGGGTGAAGTCTGTCAATTACATAGCGGTCACAACGTCATTAGTCTCATGCAATAATAACCAGCACATGGCTTCGAACATGGGTGTGCAGATCTGAACTTTGAGATCCTCTCTTTACTTTCTTCCTGTGGATTTCATTAAACTTGCCAACTCGAGCCTAAAAGCAAAGGAAAACTGTTTAAAGGGAAGGGGGGGTGGGTGGAAATCTATGAAAATCCAGGCCTTATCATAACAGAGAAGGCAAACAGCATTTACAGCAATTAAACTGATACAGAAACTTCTGTTTAACAATCAAAGCGCCTATTAAGATGTCTCCATAGCTGAACAAAAGCTTCTTTTCTACTCTAATTTTCTGATAACAAGTCATGCAGACATGGAGACAGAATTGTGCGTGTCCCTCGTGCCTTCAGTCCCAGGAGTAGAATAATAGAAATCTCTTCTCAGATGTTTTCATTTCCAGTGCACAGAAAGGGGGTGTTGGAGGGAAGGAGGATTCTTCTCCCCTCCCGTAGGTCCCTGTCTATGCCCTCTCAGCCGTTCCTTCATACAGAAAGGGGATAAACCAGGAGCCTCAGTCTTCAAAATCCCCTCGGGAGCCAGACGGACAGACAGAAGCCCCGACAGAAGGAACTGGCGTTAATAAAGCTTTCGCATTATGTACAGCTTTGAAAAGAGAAGCTCGGGCTCTGACCTGGCGGGCAGGAACTCAGGCCAACAGAAGAGTCAGGTGTGCAGAAAATATTTAAAAACATTTAACACAGAGACACCAGGTAAAAACAGGGGACGATAAAGCAAAGGAAGAGGAGGAGAAAAAGTAAGAGAAAAAAAAGATGCTGAAGATGAAGACAAAGAAGAAAAGAAATGAGAAAAATAATAATAGGTATGCTTTTTGTTGAGCACTATGGTGTGCCAAGCACTATTACCAAATAAACCCTTTCTGTACATTACCTCATATAATCCATCCACTGCAGCCTATGATGCATGGAACAGCAGCTGTTAGGATTAGCCCCATCTCACCAACAAGTAAATTGGGAAGTTACACCATTTCCCCAAGGTCACACAGCAAATAAAGGCCAGGACTGGGGTTTTTAATTCAGGTCACAGAGCTTGGGTTCAATAAATGATGGCTACCTTCATCCCCATTTCACAGACGGGAACACTGAGGCTTAGAAGCAATATGCGATCGTCCATAGCTAGTGACCGAGTTGGGATTTGAACCACAAAGAAGAACAAACCGGATGCTTCTTCTGGAGCATCCGGACGGCTCTCCAGATACATGGAGTTCAACCCATCCTAGAGTGTCCCTGCCCCCCTACCTCTGTCTAGGAAGAGCAAAGGAACACTGACCCTTATACGCTCAGAGAAGAGCTGCCAGAGGCCTGGCAGGTGGTGTCCTAGTATGCTGTTCATTTTAGCTGTCACCCCTGCAGTTAGCCAACAATATTTTCACGAGTGAAATCATGCCCACACCCCTCCCCCAAGATGTCCTAATCCCTGGAACATGTAAGTAAGTCACCTAACAGGCAGAAGAGATTTTGCAGATGTGATTAAATTAAGGATTACCCAAGCGGGCCCGATGTAATCATGAGTCCTTATGTGGGCAAGAGGGAGGCAGGAGGGTCTGAGTTAGTGGAGGAGATGTGACAGTTGCTGGCT